GGGGGGAAGGCGGCGGGGGGAATGTCTGGGGAAGTTCGGAGAAGGTGGGGGAAGGCCAAAGAAGCTTAGGGTCCAGCGAATCAACCAATCAATCAATCAATCAATCAATCAATCAATCAATCAACTAAGAAAGAAAGGGAATCCTTAGCGGATGCCGGGCACCCTACCGTCTCAACCAGAAAACAAGGCACAAACGTTTTGTTTTGTTTTTTTTGGGGGAAATATTCAATATTTCATTGCAGCGAAAACCTGGGATGAGGCTGGGGACCTCATTATCCAACCCGGAGTTACCCTGGCAGTATCAGCCAGTTTTGCTTACAATGCAGGCTCGCTGACCTACCTCTATTCCCAAAACTGTTATAGGCCTATAATCACTTTCGGCTGTGGCAGTCGAGTTCACACACAGACACACGCACACAAGGACACATTTAGACGGACACAGTTAGACACACACAAACAGACAGAACCACAAACACAACCAAACACACACAGGCACAGGCGCACACAACCAGACACAAGAACACACAGATACACACACAGACACACACGCACACACACACACGCAAACAGAGGTACACGCACACATAGACACACACACACGCACAGACAGCCACACACACAAACACAGACACACAGACACACACACACACACAAACACAGACACATACACACGCACAGACAGCCACACACGCAAACACAGACACACACACACACACACACACATAAAGACAGAGGCCTGATAGTGGTCCCAAAAGTGTTTAAGGCCTACAAGCACCTTCGCATATTTTTGTGCCCGAGGCCGCACACAGACATAGGCACAAACATACACTCACAGGCACACACACAAGAACACAGGCACACAGACATACGCAGGCGTTCAGACAGAGACACACACACACACAAACAGAGACACAAACAGAGACACACACAGAGACACACACAGAGACACACACAGACACACACACAGACACACACACAGGCACACACACAAAAACATAGGCTTGAAGTGCTGATAAGTTTTCCAAAGAAAATCACAGGCCTTCAATCACTGGTAGACACATACACAAAACACAGGCACACAGACACACACACACAAGGACACAGTTAGACACACACAGATACACGCACACTGACACACACAACGACAAAGACACGCACAATCTGTGTCTGTGTTCGTATGTCTTTTTGTGCACAGCACACGAACACAGACACAACCTGTGTCTGTGTGCGTCTGTCTTTTTGTGTTTGTTTCCGTGCCTGTGTCTGTCTGTGCACAGTGGCTCAGACTAACGCAAGGACATTCGCAGAACTGTTGTAGGCCTTTAACCACTTTCGTCTGTGGCAGTCGAGTTCACACATAGACAGACGCACACAAGGACACAGCTAGGCACACACATACAGACACGCACACACACATACACAAAGGCACAAACATACACTCACAGGCACGCCCACAAGAACACAGGCACACAGACATTCAGACATAGACATACACACACACAAACAGAGACACACACAGACATACACACAAAAACACAGGCTTGAAATGCTGGAAAGTTTCCCCAAGAAAATCAAAGGCCTAAAATCACTGTTAGACACACACAAAAGAACACAGGCACAGAGACACACACACCAACACAAGAACAGGCTTGTATTGTCAAAAAGTTTCCCCAGAACCAAAACAGGCATTAAATCACTCTCGCCTAAAGACATAGGCTTGTATTGTCAACCAGTTACCCCAGACGCACACAGACACACACAGACATAAAGACATAAAGACGCATAAAGACGCACACAACCAGACACACAAGAACACACAGACACATACACACACACACACACGCAAACACACGCCTGCCACACACAGAGGCACACAGACACACATGCACACACGCAAAGACAACCATACACATAAACAGAGACACACAGACATACATGAAAACAAAGGCCTGGAATCGGTCCCAAACGTGCTTATGGCCGACAAGCACCTTTGACTTGCCTGCCACACACACAGAGGCACACACACAGACACAAACAACGACGCACACACAGGCACAGACGCACACACACACACGAAGAGCAACACACACGGACACAGGGAGACACACAGACACACACAGACACACACGAGCACAGAGACACACGGGCAAAACAAGCAGGGGTGCTAGGGCCCAGTAACCAGTCTTACCGAGGTTAACATTTGTTTTGGATGGCTCTTTGCGTGCAGTCCATTCGTGACGATGAAGACATCCCGAGGCGCGAGGGGTGCAAGCAAGGGGAGGAGTGCAAGAAGAACCGGCACAGTCTCTTCTCGGGGGCAGCCGGCGTGCTCTGAAGGGGTTGTGCAGCAAAGGCGGCCACCGGAGCAGGATGATTTTCCCCAAATGGGAGAAGGAGATGAGGATGAATATGTTTTAGAAGACGGAGAGTTCGTGGCAGGAGAAGGCGAAGGAGAGGAAGAGGAAGGAGAGGGAGAGGAAGGAGAGGGAGAGGAAGAGGAAGAGGAAGGAGTAGAAGAAGAAGAAGAAGAAGAAGAAGAAGAAGAAGAAGAAGAAGAAGAAGAGGAAGGAGAAGAAGACGACGAAGAAGAAGAAGAAAAAGAAGAAGAGGAAGAGGACGAGGAAGAAGATCTAATGGAGGAGGACGGCAGCTGGCAGAGAGAGTTCCTCGAGTCGAGGCCCGTTCGCAGCGACTTCAAGTACTTCTTTTGGGCCGTGTACGTCACAGTTGGATTAGCTTATCTTCACGTCAAGACCAGTGGCAACGGTGTCTATGCACGAATCGGCGAAATTTTATTTGCAGCGCACGTGACTGAAAAATATCTCATCGCAGAGTTGTGGGTCGTTATCAAGGGCAAGCTCACCAAATGTCTGTTGAAGGAAGATAAATTAATGCCCATGAAGATGCCCATCCAAAACAAGAAGTTGTTGGCATTAAACAAGACGGGTTGCATGGTAAATGCTCTCATCTCCCCTAATTTCCACTGCATATCTCTCTTCGCAGGAAGTTGCAGAGCTGCAAGTTTCATTCTGTTTCTTTGAAGGTGTAACCGGAAGGAATAGGCATAAAACTTTCACGGCATATCCGAGAGTTAAAGGCCTACAACTACCGGATACGCCGTGGAAGTTATAGGCCTATAACTACCGATAACGCCGTGGAAGTTATAGGCCTATAACTACCGGATACACCGTGAAAGTTACAAGCTTAAACCTCCATGGCCTTTTCGAAAGTTATAGGCCTATAACCTCCATGTTGTTTCTGACAGTTGTAGGCCTGTAACTTCCACTATGTCTTCCTTGTTCTTGGGAAGTTATAGGCCTATAACATTGACTACGTCCTCCTCGTTTCCAGAAGTTTGACTCTTTGAGGTTGTAGGCCTGTAATGTTTTTTCACAATTGCGTTGTTCTATTGCACTTGTCGTACGCAGTGTTGCTCTAAGTATGTGTTATAGGCCTATAAGTTTCTCTGACACACTTGGTCGACCATTGTTTTTTCTTTTGCTTCCAATGTGTTGCGCAGCCGTTCGTGGAAGGACTTTCTGAGTTCTTACGGACAAATTTGGACGAGAAACTTCTTCCTTTAAAGTGTGCAGAGGAAGCGGAAAAATCACAAACTCCGCCGCCGACGCCGACGACGGCCACGAAGGGTGGCTCCAAAGTGAGGTCGCAGCGTCCCAAAAATGTGATTTTTCCTCAAACCATTGTCGAGTCTTCCGGTAGTCTGGAAAGGGGATCGGGCACAAAGACGATTCCTGGGAAGATTCGTGGGAAGAAAACAGTCACACCGGATCCGCCTCGTCCGGAAGGGCAAGGGGAGGGGAAGGGAAGGGAAGAGGAACTCCAAGTACCCCAAGGTTTCGTGCCGAACGAGCGCACAAAAGATTTGACAAAAACTTGGGAGGAGTTGAAGAGTTTGCAGGAGAAGAAACTTTCACACGAGTCCTTTTACCTGCCGATGAGATGTTTGAAGAGGCCACCCTTGGTGAATGGGAAAAGACCAATGGAGGTGAGAGAGTCGGACGAGGACCATGTGAAGTCCATCATGGACGCGATGTTGAAGCAGCCAATTGGAGATCATCTTCCCTTCATTGGCCTCGTCGACCCTGCCCAGGCCGGGCGCAAAGAAGACGTGAGCTTGACGAAACTGAGAGCCGGCGACTACGATGTTTTTGTGCTTGGTGTTCGCCATAGTCGGGAAGCGAGGGAGCGGTTAGCACGCATGAACCCCGACAACATGGAGTACCAGTACAATGTGTGCTATGTTTACGTTGGCCTCACGATCGATGAGGCGAGGCAGGTTGCCCACAGGCATAACCTTGTGGCAGGTTACCACAGGGACTTGAGCTTCATCGAGAAGCTTAGGTGTTAGCGCCAAGTCTTTGAAAGCAGGGGGTGCGTCAAGTCGCAAGAAGTGAAGCTCGCTCGCTTGAAAGAAGCAGGGATTCTGAACGCGACGAAGAAATTGAACGCCCAAGACCCGTTGCTGCAGTGTGCTTTCAAACCCCAAGAGATTTGGGAGCTCATGTGTAAGATCATGAGCATGTGGCAGAAGGGCTAGGTCAAAGGCAAAAAACTGAAGCCGGTTGCGAGGAGCTTCTTGAAAGCAGACCAGGATCTGGAACCGAGCGAGTCCGAGGGCGCGAAAAAAAACCAGCGTGGGAAGAGGCTTGATAGAAATGTCGCTTCTTTATCCACGGGTGCAGCTGCAGGGTAACAAGGTCCCCATGGTCGTCGAGGACATGCCAGCGCAACACTGGATAGCCATGGGTAGTATGGCTCCAGAGAACGCCGTCCCTATCCTCCTTAAGGTCATTGCGAAGCAGATCTCGCTTAAGGAGATGGAGAAGAAGTTCCAACTTGTCAAGCAAATCGCCTACGTCTGCAAGGCATTCACAGTGGGGATGGGCGCTGCTGACTTCAAGGATGCCGAGAAGCAGTATTCTCTCCACACAAAGAAAGAGATTTTGGAGAAGTTCGTTGGTGGCATCAGAAGGGGTCAG